CAAAACGGGCCTCCCAAGCTCCTCAGACTTATCTTAACCAAACTGGAGCCAGGTTTTCCAGGAAGGGAACTAGCTGACTCGCTATTTGAGGTAAGAGTGTCTGGATTTGGGAAAAGAAGACTTAGTTTGCAGACCTTATGGGAGAGACCAGAGGGTCAGTTATTGAGAAGAGGATGGCTGACTGGCAGGGAGCAGTGGAATATGTGTAAATTGAAATAAACAGAGATAATCACCCATAGTGGGCAAACCTTTGTCAACCACTTAGTTTTAGACTGTAATGAGGAATGAAGTCATTTATTTTCGAAAAAGAACTGCAACTCCAAGAAACAGATTCAGATAGCAACCTATATTGGTTCCATCAAGACAAAGGGGAGGTCACCTTTTGTACAGAATTTTCCTGCCCACAGTTCCCATTTTGGTCCGTTTCAGGTAAATGAGGTTTCCAAATTGGACAATCTGATTGGTCGGTATAGATGCAAATGAGGATAGACGTCATGCAGTTCTGATTGGACGCGGCAGGTCCCAGTCTACAGGTAGAGGTGACCAGGGTTGCCCTGTGTGCCCAGCCAGCTCAGCCAAGGGTTTGAAAGCCTGAGTGAGGGCGGCAAAAGAATGAAGAAATGACAGACAAAGAGAATAAGCTGGGTCTAGGGTGGATCTTCCTGTGCCTGGCTGAGGCCACAGAGAGAGATCCAGAGGGTAAGCTGAGCCTTTATTTTATAGCCAGAGGTAAACAAGGTAGTGGTCACCATAGTTACAATGTTCTTGTGAGTTTCACTTGTTTTGGCAGCACTTGCTGCACCTCCCACAGCCCATTAGCTTCCCAGATAAGATCTAGGGAGCTTCATAAGGTCAAGCCTAATTATGCTAAGCAGACTGTGCCCTCTAAGCTGGGACTTGTTTGTGGCTTTGCCAACAGGTCAGTCTGAGGCTTAACCCTATAGCCGTGGCCTACAGCCCTGCAGTGACTGACCCAGACGGTGTAAAAGTGAGGCCCAGCTCTAGCGGGTTAGAGCGGCAGCCCGCCCACTGGAGGGTTGCAGGTTCGATTCCAGTCAAGGGCATATACCTCAGTTGCAGGCTCATCCCTGGCCCTGGTCAGGGCACGTGGGGGAGGTAACCAATCCATGTGTCCCTACCTCACCCTTCCGCTCCTGCTAAAAATAAATGGAAAAAATACCCTCAGGTGAGAATTAACACAAAACAAAACAAAAGACCTGGAGGCACAAGTGGAAGCTGGGCATTCAGGCTGGGTGCTCCCGGTGACTTGGTTCAGGGAGCCCCTCTCAGCAGACGGCCACTGGGCTCTTATTGTTTATAAAACTCATCTCCCAGGAGAACTCCTTCTTGGGGTTCACAAATGAATTTTGTTGGGCCCACAGCCTGAGCCTGCTCTCCTCAGCCCTCCATTCTCTCCCTTCTTCTGCCTTCAGCTTAACAGAACCCAGAAGGCAGACGAGTGGGTTGCCGCCCTGGCTAGAGCAGGTCTCTGTTGGTCCCTCTCTGAGCCCCTTCAGTTGGTTTTCCCAACCAAGCAGCACCCACCTGCCCCGCAGGGGTGGCGTCACCGAGCGGGCTCAGCGGCCCTCGCTGGTCGTTCTGCAGCCGCACTCACACTCGAACGGCCTTGTGAAGGGCCTTGGCCACGGCCCTCGCTGGTCGTTCTGCAGCCGCATGCACTCACACTCGAACGGCCTTGTGAAGGGCCTTGGCCCTGCACTGCAGTGAAGTGTATGTGGTGAGTTTGTGAGCCCAGCCCACGCTGGTTTTAGGAATCTGAGATTTTTTAGTGAAAAAATCTAAGAGCAGGAAGGTCAGAGAGCCAGGTCTGACATCACAGCCCGCTTCCAGTCTCCTCCAGGCCAGCACAGGGGCGGGCCGAGGAAGCCCCAGCGAAGTGCAGCTGCCTACCCTGCAGGCCTCCCGGGAGGCTGGGCAGGGAGCGGGCACGTCAGCCCCGTCCGCACGGAGCGTTGCTGGAGGCCAGCTAGGGCTCCAGACAAACTTAACTTGCCATTAAGGTCCTGGGTCAGAACCAGGCAAGCACAGGGCTGACCCGACTCAGATGTCGGGCCACAAGCCATTGGGGACCCAACCCAGGGACCTGCCCCTCCTCTGGCTCTCTCTGGAATGCCCTTGCCCAGGCCAGAAACAAACCAAACAAGAGGGTGGTGTTGAGGGGGTAACTGGGGAAGGTGTTTGGGGAGCCGCTGGGAAGACAGGCCGCAGGACCTCTGGACTGGCCTGGCCTGGAGGGTGGTGAGCTGAGGAGCCTGGGTGTGGAGGGCAGGTGAGTCCCAGGCCTTCCCTTCCCCTCCCAGGGAGGCCATCTCCTTGGCAGACTGATGCGTGCATGACCACGGTGCTGGGAGGGCTCTGTCTCGGGGGTGTGCAGAAGTCAGTGTCCAGGCTCAGGTGCCGGCTTTGCAAGCTGTAGGGAGCGCCCCCCTAGCTTCCCCGGGGCTTCCATTTAGGGCAAGTTTTGGGAGCAGACAAACTTCATACCTCTGTCTCAGACAGGCGCCCTGAGGGCCACGCTCTGGGCCGGCAGCGAGCCCCGAGGACACTCAGGAAACAGACCCTGAGGGTGCGCTTGGGGCAGGCTTCCCGCACCCAACCCCCAGTTGCTCTCCAACTCCTCTGCATCTGTCTGCCAAGCACCCCCCACCCCCAACAAAGAGCCTCCCAGGGCCCGGAGGGGGTGGGGTGGATGTCAGGCTTGACGCCTGGGCCTCCAGAGGAAGGGGGCAGGATACCTGGGCCCCAGCAGGGGGCCCTGTCTGAGGCTCAGTCTTGGAGGGGGATTTGGGGTGGGTTCCCGGAGCTCTTTGTAACTGGGGAAGGTGTTTGGGGAGCCGCTGGGAAGACAGGCCGCAGGACCTCTGGACTGGCCTGGCCTGGAGGGTGGTGAGCTGAGGAGCCTGGGTGTGGAGGGCAGGTGAGTCCCAAGGCCTTCCCTCCCCTCCCAGGGAGGCCATCTCCTTGGCAGACTGATGCGTGCATGACCACGGTGCTGGGAGGGCTCTGTCTCGGGGGTTGGGGAGATGGCTGGGGAGGACTTCCTCCTGCTCCAAGCAGTTTCTCCACCCCCCACAGGCCCCTAAATCCATCCTTCTGGGCAGTTCGTGGGTTCGAAGTGAGTGCAGCTCAGCCCACTTCCCTGTAGCTGTTCCAACAGGCCTTGGGAAAGAGCTGAAATGCATGAATCGTTGTCCAGAAAGCACATGCAGATGGCACAGCAGCGATACAGGCTCAGAGGGAAGCCAGGCTCAAGCACCTCAGGGCACCGCCGGGGCGAAGACT